AAACAAGGTTTGCTTTCATTTCTCAGGTAAAAATCCAAAGTTATTCGGATGCTGGTCCTTTATACCTGTCTTGTTTTATCCTTTCTGTAAACTTGCAGAATCTTCAAGATGATGTACATTGGTGTGAAATTATTTTCATGCCCACTGAGCCCTTATAGTTTGGAATTTTGTGTCTTTGAGTTCTGCAAATAACTGTACTGATTTATTTCACTGATGGTTTCTTCCCTCAGTCGTCTCTCTTCTCTATTCCTGGAATTCTGATATTTGGCTGTTGGGCTTCCTGGACTGGCCTTTTAGTTCTCTTATCCATTCTCTCCAATGTATCACTTTTTATCTTTCTGGCTTACTCTCTGAGAAGTTGAAAATAAAATTTGATCTTCCACATTGCTTTATGTTTTACCCTTATTCTTTTACCTTCAGTAATTATTCCTGTGTTTTTGAGTTCTAATTCCATCACACCCTAATCAACACTTTTTGTTGCCTGTCTTGTTTATTTTAACCATCATAGTGGCTATGAAGTGGTACTTCATGTAGTTTTGATGTGGAGCAAAAAAAATTTTTATTATAATAGTTTCTTTTTATATCATTTAGTGCCTTTTTCCATCTCAGCTGCAATCCCTGTGGACTTCCCATCACCAAATCACATGTGCCATCACCATAGTCCTATGCACCCCCCTCCCCACCCACTTTTTTATCCCATTCCCCACTCTACCTCTATAAAATGTCTCTGGTACATAGTTGTTCATTATCCCCCCTGCCTCCCCAAGTCCTTTATACTCTTGCTATAAAGAAAAACCAACTGGTATTTTTCTTTTTGTTTCTGGCTTATTTCACTAAGCATGATCCCTTCCAGCTCTATCCATGTTGATTGCTGAGTAATATTCCATTGTGAATATGTACCTGATGTGGAGCAAAAATTTTAAAAAAGATTTATTTATTCATGCATACAAGAACTGGGTTACAGGCCAGAGGTGCGGGAGGTGAGAGACAGGGTAGGGAGCAGAGCAGGCAGATCTACTGAAATATACTGCTGAGGGGAGCAGCACTGAGGGAGGACAGGAGTTCTTGAGAATGTGAAATGTGGGTCACCTCACTTGCCAGGGATCTAACTCATGCTGCAGTGGCTTGTAATAGCTTCATAGTGCTGTTCTTTAACCTGTTGTGCCACGAGGGAGGGCCCCTGGAGCAAATGTGTATGTGTTTATGTGTTTATTGACCAGTTCCTTTTACTTTTGGAAATTGGGTTCTAATAACTCTACATATTGTGGATATTTTTCAGGGCTCACTTTTAAAAAAATATTTATTTATTTATGCATATAAGAACTGGGATAGAGACCAGAGGTGTGGGGGTGAGAGGATTCACCAGAGACAGAGTGGGGAGAACAGGCAGGTTGACTGATATATATACTGTTGAGAGGAGCAGCCGGAGAGAGAGGAGAGGTCTACTGTGCCATGTGGGTCAGCTCCCTGGCTGGGGATCAAACGTGTGCTGCATGGCTGCAGACAGCTTCATAGTGCTGTGTTTCAACCCATTGCACCACCAGGGAGGGCCCCTTCAAGGTTCGCTTTTCACTCTCTTATGTTCATGCCTTGTCTTTGGTACTTGCTGGGCCGTTTAAAGCACAATTTGCTATTCTTTGTTGCTTGTGTTTTGAGAAATCTATTTTAGAAGCTTTATTGAGGTATAATTGACATATACATTTTACATATTTAAAGGGTATAGTTTGGTACATTTGATGTACATGTACATTATGAAAACAGCACCAGAATCAAGAAAGTCGACAAACCATAATACCGTTAAGTTTTATACCGTTAGGCACCTTTGTCATCCATCCTGTCTCTTCCTGCACCACAGTCCCTCAGTCCTCAGCAACTACTCACATATATTCTATTTTTACAAAAGATTTATTTATCACTCAGAACTGGGGCACAGGCCAGAGGTGCAGGGGGTGGAGAGGGGATTCACCAGAGACAGAGAGGGGAGCAGAACAGGCAGATCAATGAAGTACACTGCTGAGGGGAGCAGCAGGTGAATCAGGAAAGGTCTGCTGTGCTATGTGGGTCACCTCCCTGGCCGGGGGTTGAACTTGTACTGCAGTGGCTGTGGATAGCTTTAACCCGTTGTGCCACCAGGGAGGGCCCTACTCATGTGTGTTCTATTACTGAAAGTTAATTTGCATTTCCTAGAGTTTTATTTGAGTAAAATCATATAGTACATACTCATTTGTTCTGACTTCTTTCATATATTGTGATGATCTGAAATTCATCCAGTTGTGCGTGTATCAGTACACATGCCTTTGCATTGCTGAGTAGTATCTCATTGTATAGCAGAACTACAACTTGTTTATTCTGTTACCTGTTGAGCGGCACTTGGCTTGTTTCCACATTGGGACTTTATGAAAAAAGCTTCTCTGAACTTTGCACAAGTTTGTATGAATATATGATTTCATTCACCTAAATACAGTAAATTTTTGAATAATCATTGTTTCACTAGTTGAGCATCTCCTATGCTACCTGGTTCTGTGCTAGGTGCTATTACTAAGCCTTGTAGATATTGTCTTTCTTTATGAAGGAGAAAGCTAGTTCAGAAAGATGGAGGGACTGGCTGATGTCATAGAGAGGATGATTCCAACACAGATTTGACTCAGGACTGACTTCATCAAAGACCATGTCTGCTCTTCGCCCCCCCAAAATACAGATACCCTCTTTCTTGACTTTTGAAATCTAGGACTAGCACAATTTTAAAACTATACAATCTTTACCTTTAAGAAACATATTAGGCCCTCCCTGGTGGTGCAGC